GGGAATTAGGGTTTTACTTTCCAGCTCCTACTCGTCGAGTCCCACAAAGGACTCGCCGAGTAGATCACTTAATTCGCCATCCAACCCACTGCTACTCGACGAATAGGGCAACCAACTCATCGAGTAGGGTTAAAATCCAAAAATACTTTATTTAAAGTATTACCTGAGATTCGGGGCGTTGCAATGTCATTATTCAAAATTATCCATAGTCAGTCACATTTGTGGGAGTCACATTTGCATATGTACTTGTTAGAGAACAACTATTGGATATGACCCGCATCAAGAGTTACTTGATGGATCGATATCATAAGTAAATCTTGAACACTGGTAAAATATATTTGTCTTTCGACCTCAGATACATATTGGAGAACTCAAGTATGGATATTGTTATACTTTGACATGGTTAAACGTTGTTCATAACTGTACAGTCATAAAAGCTTTTGTTAGGTATAACATGAACTATATGAGAGTGTATATGTAGTCAAGATGAGATTTGTTCCTCTTATGTGTTAAGAGTTAGACATCTAAGATGCCTTACTTAAAGGTGAATGACAAATGAGAATGATTACGTTCCATGTCTCATTTCCAACATGATGTCTATAACAAAGAGAATATTGATACACTTACCTTATACTTCAATTGCAGCTTCTGAGCTTTTGGAATCGGATGTTGATTGATGGTACCCCTCCATGTGTTATTAGGGACAATAGATTGTTGCTAGATGTCAACTACTGTCTATGTCAATCTATAATGAATCTTTTGCAAGTGGGAGATTGTTGGATCTATATGCTCAAGAATCATTATTGAGTGATATTGCTAATAACATATGATCCTATAGGGTCACAATTTAATCAAGTTGGTACTTATTGAATATTTATTAAGAATTTGATTATTAATAAATAAATTCAACTCTTGTATTTAATTAGAGAATAATTATTGTTTTATGAAAATAATAATAAAAGAAACCACAAACTAGTTATTATATAATATGGTATAATTAATAAGTCATGTACAAATGTTTTAGATACTTTGGTTAACTATTGACTTACTAGTGATTTTGTTTTTTAGTTAAAGGAACTAGCTTATCTTTTATGTCTCTTTTAGAGACCTTGGAACCATAACTTTTAAGGGTTATCGGTTGCTTGTCAAACTCCATCTCTTGTCTCCTATACATCTAATCTAGAGTATTTTAGATTATAGGAATTGAACTTACTTTGCATGAGATATAAAAGGAGACTATTTACATGAAAATCTGCTTGTTCTTTTGCCCTCTAATTCACTCAAAAAGTCGTGGGTTTTTTCTACCCAAGAAGCTCTCTCTCTCTCTCTCTTTTTAAGTTTGGTACTTGGATTTTGGTGCTTCCTTCAGTGCCTATTTGTTAAGAACTTAAAGTATTAAAGAAAAAACCATACAAGAAGGAATCTAGAAATTATTGGTACCTTAATCTGGTGGTGGATATTTATAGAGAAGTTCAAGCTCCTTGTTCTTTCTATCTTCATCAACACCTCAAATCCAAGGGGGTTCAAAGGTTCCAAAGTTTGTCATTCTAAAATGCTCTATGGTTGTTTTTAATATCATTCTAACCTCTTTAAAATGATCCTTGGTGATTTTCTTTTGAAAATATACACAAAAAATTCTAGAAATTTTAATAGTTTCCATTGCCCGGTTTTTATGAAAAACTCTCTTATTTTTTTTTTATCAAAACCCATCAAGAATAACTCATAGATGTGGTTCAAGTTGTTCTCTTGATTTGCATTTACCTCATAAAAACCATCACATGCCGCTTTTAGAGTTTTCAACATCTCCTTGGCTTAGTTACACCCTTCCACTTAATAGTATACATCATATTGAAGTGAAAGTGAATTGTAAGAAGTACGTATTGTCCTAATATCCATGTTGAAGTTTATGGTGGCATCTTTAATCCATTAATTAACAAGGGTTTAATGTTTCTTATTTCAACATTAAGAGTACTTAACTCTAATTAGTTTATAATAGTTCATAGGTAGGGACAAAAGGTCTATCATTTATGACTTTCATCATGTTGTAGTTCATGTTTTCAAGAACCATCATAATTATGTTCAACAATATAGTTAAGTTGTTTTCATAGAATAGGGAACTTGGGAACTTGTTGTAAAGTTTGATTGGATTTGGAGTAGACAAGACATGTTGAAATTAAAGTAGAGATATCATATAGTAATAACAAATAATCAACTAGATCTTTGAGGACTAGTCTAATATATTGTTCCCATACAAGTTGTTGATCCATACACCAAACCAGTAGAACATGAACAAAATACAATCAATTGAATTTATTTCTTAATAACAATTTCTGAAAAACAAACATAATAAATAAAGACATTATATATAGCCGTAAATAATTCTCTTATTTAATCATTACATAAATTCCAAACAAGAGAGATAAACATAACATAACATCCCAAAAAACTAGGGAAACTTCAATGCTAATCTTGTCTTTGAACTTATTATCTTTATCTATATTTGAAATCTTTAATCTTGACTTGATCTTAAATATCTCCGGTTAGGTAAGTATGATTTAGCCTCAAGTTGTATTGAGTTGCACTTGGTGTAGATAAGAGTTCTGAGATCGTAGGATGTCCACTCATTAGGAGCTCATACTATCAAGTTAGACCAAGTTTTCTTTGTCATTATATATTGTCTAAGTTCTTAACATAGAGCTTAGCCAGCTCATTGCCACAGACTTAAATTCGACACTCTTCCTTGCTCGTTCGGCTCCCCGAGGTTCCCGCTAGAACTACAAGACCAACCTACCCAGATACACATGTCAACTGGTTTCGCCATACTAAAGGCTCATCAGGGAGGCGACATTAACCCCCGACCAGTTGTATCTAACCTGCGATGCTCCCCTTCATAGTCAATCCCTCTAGCATTTACGACACTGCCACATGGAAGCGACTAGACTAACAACCCCCCCCCCCCCCCCCAAATTCCAATAGCAATGTAACCAACGACAAGGTCTTCTTTCTCTTTGGTCTTAATGGTCATGCCAACTTTCGGTCATGATATTCTCCCACCGCCAAAATATAACACATACTCGTGCGGTAGGAGAAGAACTCTTGTCCCTTCCAATCTCGATCAACATCACGTATAGTTGCACACCACTGTCGTAGAGCCCAACTGCACACTCATGGAGTCGGCATCCTTAGCATGTGGCCACCCCCAGTCTACTCTTAGACTTACGCAAGGAGGTGGAGAAGTCCTCAGTAGGTCTCCCCTCTAGGCAACCCACCCGCTAGTTCGCCTCTACGAACCTCACGAAAATGTGCAGCTGACTTAATGTATGTCCCGTTTGCTCAAACCTGACTTTGATACCACTTGTCACGAACTTAAATTCGACACTCCTTACCCATGTGGCGCCCTGAGGTTTATGCAGAACTACGAGACCAACCTACCCAGATACACACAACAACTAGTTTCGCCCTGCCAAAGGCTCATCACGGAGGCGACATTAGCCCCCGACCAGTTGTGCCTAACCCGCGTCTCAAGCCCTCTAGCATTTACGACTCGGCTGGACAGACGCAGCTAGACTAACAACGCCCTCATGGACTAACCCCCCCCCCCCCCAGCGATTCCAGTAGCAAGGTAACCAGCGGCATTATCTTCTTTCTATTTGGTTTTCACGGTCACGCCAACTTTCGGTTGTGACATCATGTTGACTAGTTATGCTACCTCATGCATGAATAGTTTAAACACCATTAAATATAAATATTCAATCCAAACACAATTAATACCGGAGTTTCATTAGGTAAAACATAGATGTAATTCCTAAGACCATTGCATAGACTACTGTTAGAAAGATATTCATTATCTATTTCTTGGATAACATGATGTAGAGAAGGTATGATTATCATTTACAGTTTCTTTTATATAAGGTGCAATTTGACAATAGGCTAACTAATTGATTGTCATGACCACATCCAAAACCACAAACATAACCAACAAGACCACCTACATCTCTCCCGCTGGCTGACATCCTCAACAACTTGGTTAAGGATATGGTGGCCTATAAAAAAAAGATATTGTGTGTATAGTTCCAAATTTGCTTAAATCAAAATCTAACCCATGATTTTTCCTTTCAACTATTGTGCATAAATTTTTCTTTTTATGTTTCCCACCCCCCACCCCGTTTTTCCCCTGTAATTTCACACAGAGACATCTTAAAGATACTCTTTTCATGGGTCACCCAATGGTCTCTTTTTTCCATCACCGATGCTAGACCAAAAAAACCCACATGGACTATCCAATAGTTTTTCATTGTTGGTGGAGAAGCTATGGAAACGTTGTAAACAACTGAATTAATAGACTATCCGAGTATTAACTAACAATGAGTTTTTTTTTTATTATTTCATTGTTTTTGGTATAAGCTGCCTTTGATTTGTAATTTGTGTTTTTTTAGTTTTAGGTCTGAACATTAATGAGTTTGTTGACTAAGTTTTAGGGTTATATTAATGGTTCTTCAACATTATTATGAAATAGATGAAGGAGAAGACTCCAACAATTTCCCACTTCACCATATCTGACCTAACTGAATGTGCTTGTGCTTCATCCTACAATTAATAGTGCAAACTTGATCTATTTTGTTTATCAACAGTGTTGTTGGTTTGACTTAAGGTTTTGTTAACCCTGGTTGTGCACATTTGGAGAATATAACCACCACAAACCATTAGATTAAACATTAGTCGGCTTGCTAATAACATAGCTTTTTTATTCTGCAGCAAGCTACCCGTATACAAATGAAGAAAAAAAAAAGTATGATAGTTAAAGAAACTCTAGATATATACCGAGAAGAAGACTATTACATGAAATATGTAAACCAAAAGCCAAAAGGTAGTTGGCGAATTGCTTCCAGGTGAAGAAAACTCCTAATTGCAGAAGATAGTATGAGAAAAAAAAAATAAATAAATAAAATACAAGTTGTGGATTAACATTCGTTGAGATCTAATTGTTAAAACCAAATGTTTCAAGATACAAATGCTTTAGGGATGCTTCTTAAAATCGTCTCAAGTTTTGTGCAAGCACACAAACCTTGAGAAAAAAGCTTCTCAAGAGATCTAGTCAATGAGGGTAGATCTTCTTTATGAATACATGTAGACTCAAACTTTGGCAGATCTTTGTCGGGGTGAAATGGGCATCTTTCTAAGGTGAAATGTAACTCGGTTAAAGGCCGAACCTCAACTGAGTCACTCAATTTAGCACTACTATTATCCTTTTTGTGAAACACAAAAGATCTAAACCCGAAACAGCCACTCAAGTCAATGTAGAAAACATTTTCTAGGTATCCAATGGGAGCGTGAATCTCCACCAAATTGTAACATTCTTTAAATACTAACTTCCTAAGATTTGGAGTCAGACCAAGGTCAAGGGTCCTCAACTTTGAACGATGAACGACAAGATATTTGAGGTTTTGACATTCATCTGTTATGTGAAATTCTTCCAAATAATGACAGTTTATAAGTTCTAACCAGTTGAGATAAGGAGTCAACCCAATGTCAAGGGTCCTTAAATTTGACTCAATTACTCGTAGGTAAGTGAGATTTAGAGAACTACAGGGCATGTGAAATTCCTCCAAATAATTACACCTCGTAAGTTCTAAACTGTTGAGATTCAGAGTCATCCCAATGTCAAGGGTCCGCAAATTTATACTATGGAGATATATGTACTTGAAATTTAGACACCTTTGGGACGTGTGAAGTTCTACCAAATTGTCACAGCTAAGAAGAGACAACTTCTCAAGATTCGGAGCATGTCCCAGGTCAAGGGTCCTCAACTTTGAACCAGAAAGTTTGAGGTCTTTGAGCTTTAGACATTCATTGGGCACATGAATTTCTCCCAAATTATAGCATTTGTTAAGATCTAACTTCTCAAGACTTGGAGTCAGTCCAAGGTCTAGCATCCTTATATTTGAACCCTCGAGTTGGAGGGATCTGAGATTTGAACATTCAACAGGCATATAAAGTTCTACTAAATCACTGTTAAGATCTAACTTCTCAAGAATTGGAGTCATCCTGAGGTCAAGTGTCCTCAACTTCGAACCATAAAGTTTGACAGATCTGAGGTTTAGACATTCAGCAGGCATATAAAGTTCTACCAAATCACCATGTCCTCTAAGCCTCAATTTCTCAAGATTTGGAGTCAACCCAAGGTCAAGCGTTGTCAACTTTGAACCTGTGAATTTGAGGGATCTGAGCTTTGAACATTCAACTGACATGTAAAGTTCTACCAAATCACTGTTTAGATCTAACTTCTCAAGGTTTGGAATCAGCCCAAGGTCAAGAGTCCTCAACTTTGAACTACGAATTTCAAGGGATCTGAGTTTTGAACATTCTAAGGGCATGTAAAGTTCTACTAAATCAATGTTAAGATCTAACTCCTCAAGATTTGGAGTTAGCCCGAGGTTAAGTGTCGTCAACTTTGAACCATAAAGTTTGAGGAATCTGAGCTTTGAGCATTCATCCGGCATGCACAGTTCTACCAAATCACCGTGTCCTCCAAGTGTCAATTTCTCAAGATTTGGAGTTAACCCAAGGTCAAAGGTCCTCAACTCTGGTCCACTGAGTTGAAGGAATCTGAGCTTGTTAAGAACCTAACATACACAAAATAACTATATGAATTAATAGTGGTATAATAACAAAGCAATGGATGTTATAGCATTATAATGAATCATGCAAAACAACTAATCAAATCACAACTCTACCTTTCTTTCTCCCCCTTCCCAAAGTTGTACAATATTGCTGAAATCCAACTGAAGTGCAACAAGATTATTTGCTTGAAATGTCCCGGGTAAAGATCTAAAAGGATACCTGTTCCAACGCAGATATCGTAAAGCATCTGGAAAGTATGGGCTGACTTCATCAAATTTCCAACTACAACACAGAAATGCTAAAGCATCTAGAAAGTTTGGGATGAGTTTATTAATTCCTTGATTCAATTCGAGAGCCTCCGCATCAAGAAACTGAAGTTCTTTCATCTTTCTAAGACCTTTCATAAAGATTTCCTGATTGAGTCTCCCACGGTAGAATCGTATACATCTTGTTGCTTCAGTACCCTGTAAACAAAAAGCAATCACTATGAAATTTGTTTGTAACAAATGAAAATGTGTTGGTTTCTCCAACTTACAAATAAACATGATCCTTACCATGTCATTAGCCAATATATCTTCAATTTCCTTTCTATCCCACAATCGGCTATGTTTGTTAGGCATATCAGGGTGCAAACGACGAACAATATTCCTGCCCAATTCTTCAAAATGGTCATGCATGCCCACACATTCATCGTTACCAATAGTTATAAGAGACTTTTGCTCAAGAACTCTTAAACCAATTCTAGGATGAAATCCACAGCTTTCAAGTGCTTCGATTGTTGAGTGTTTCGACCAACCTTTCAGAATGGTTGCAACATCTAGAAATATTTCCTTGTAATCATCGTCTAGACCGGTATAACTTAATTCCAACACCTTCTGAGTTTCCTTTAAAGGAATTGTTTCTAGTCTGGCTAGGGCTTCTTTCCATTCAAGCTTATTTTTACCACAGAGAAACGAACCCAAAACTTTGATTGTTAAGGGAAGACCAGCAGCATAACATACAACTTGTCTTGATAGTTCTTCATACCCTTCAATTGGAATCTCTTTCCCGAATGCATGCCTACTAAAGAGCCAAATCGCTTCCTCCTCTGATAACAAATTGACATTATGAATCAATTTCACTCCATGTGCTATTAGAACATGTTCATCTCTTGTCGTAATGATAATTATACTTCCAGGCTTAAACCAACTAGGGTCACCAGCTAAAGCTTCAAGTTGCTCTACATGGTCCACATCATCTAGAACAATAAGACTCTTTCTACCACCTATCATCCAAGACATCATGTTTTTCCCCTCTGAAACACTACCTACATTGATGCCATGATTATTCAATACATTTGAAAGGATTTGACTTTGCAACAGCTTCAAACCGGATGAAGAAGCATTCGAAGCTTCCCTCACTTTGTCAACAAAACTTTTGCCTTCGAACTGATAAGATATTTTATTAAAAACAGCTCTGGCCAAAGTCGTCTTCCCACCACCTCCTATCCCCTTGATCCCAATCATGCGTACATCATCAGAAGCAGTTTCCAAAGATGATAAAATATCGTTGACCCGGATCTCCATCCCAACTAAGTTTTTATCAATGTGAACATTAATGGAACGTAACTCTAGTGAAACCTTTTCAACAATTTGTCGGATGCATTTAGCTTCATGCCTATATATAAGAATCAAATTCAAGTTTAGTTAGCTAATCAAAATCCCACATGAACAATTACCTCCAGATCTATAACATACAAACATATATTTCTTCTTTTAACCTTTCTACTCAGATTTCCCAGCCTTTTACGCAAAAGTAGATTAGAAAAAAAAAAAAATTACCCGCCAGCAGTGTTTTTCAACTCCCACCCTGCCAGATCAGCTGCTTCTTTGAGAGCCTTTCTCCATTTCCCAACAGCCTCTTCCTTTTCGTGTCTGGCAAAGGCTTCTCCAACTTCCCTGCTCTGTTTTCGGACTTTGGTGGGTTCCACATCATAGAAGACAGGGTAAGCAGTATGCTTGGTTGTCTTGTGACAATCCATTATTTTCACAAGCTCATCTAAGCACCAAGATGAAGAGGCGTAGTTCTTTGAGAAAACAATGATGAAGTATTTTGAGGCTTCAATGGATTCCATGAGCTCATCATTGATTCTATTCCCTTTATTGATTTCCTCATCGTCCTTGTAAGTGCGAATGTTTCTGTCCAGAAGAGCATGATAAAGATGATCAATGAAGTTCGTACGGTTGTCTTTGCCTCCAAAACTCAAAAGTACATCATATGTAAAGCTCTTGTGAATGGATGAAGTTGAAGAAGACGCCATTGATATTGGTATGATTGAAGGATCTTGTAGAATCAAATATTTGTAAACGAAAGTATATGAGATGAATTAAATATATGAAGACAATGGTTATATGAAAATGTGAACACGCAAAACTTTGTAGTTGGTGCAGAGCTTTTGATAAAAGAAAAGACTATAAGCTATAAAGTATGAAACTCCTTATTTAAAGAAAAAAAGGGTAATTATGATGCTTTTTGTCACATATTTTTGTATTTTGTCTGAGTTCATTTATTCTTCAAAGTTAATATTTTTTGACATTTTTTCAGTAATGATGTTTACTTGCACAAAAAGCTCACCATTTACGAACCATCATACCATATCTTAGAGAAACGCACGAACCATCATACTCACTACTTTTGTAAAAAAAGTGAAACTCTGAACAAACATGTTAAAACATCCACAATAACAACTTTTTAGATCAAATAGATATATAACAAATTAGAAACTTATAATCGTATTTTTTTTTTCTCTTTTAAAAGCTATAAAAAAGGAAAAGTTAGAAATTCGGCAATATCTAGAAGTGGATAATGCTAGTTATGATCAACCAACTATTTTCAATGTACCCAAAATTATAACTAAGAGGTAACCGACTATGAAATTTGGCTTTAGAAGTATACAACATAGCTTAACACCTCACCTAAACACCCAGAAAGGTAATATTTGATCAATCTTGCAATTCATATAAAAACAAGCCCTTTGACGCAGCCCTCGGTTTCAGGTAATTAAAAAGATCAATTTATTGCAAAAACAACATAGTATAATTTTATTATTAAATTAGCAACCATATAAAGTTAATTAACCCTAGAAAAGTTGACACTCTAAAGAGTAAAGAGTAAAGATTAACACATATTTTCAACATAGGACATAATAGTAGTAGATTAGAAATAAAAAAGTAAATTAAATCATCGATAACAAACTAGTCATTGTGAGAGATTGACAGAGTTAAAGAAAGTGATATATTGAGAGTCACTGAGTATATAAAAGTAGGTTAGAATTTTCTTTACTATTTTACTTACAAGAGAATGAGGGATAGAGACGATTTGGTGAAGAATTTGGGGCTGTTCTCCTTTGCTGAGACTTGAGAGACTAGCGATTTAGGGCTGGTGTCGCAGAGGATAGAAATACAGAGCAATCATTGAAGTGAAGCGGAGAAATGTAGAGCAAAGAAAGTGAGAGATAGACTGAATGGTCGTTGTTAACCGGAGTAGAGCAGATTGGGTTACAAGATTTGATTTAGGGGGTGTTTGGGTTTAGAAACATCGGAAAAGTCACTATAAGTCACAAAAAATCAGGTTTTTACTTGTATCCAAATCCGAAAGTAGCTTTTAAAATGTTTTCTTAACTTTTTCAAAAAATTCATTTTTACTTGTATCCAAATCCGAAAGTAGCTTTTAAAATGTATTTGCTAAACATCTTTTGCTTTCTATCTTTTTCTAAAAAAAAAAATTTCTTCTAAAAAGCTAAACCAAACACCATCTACCTGTTGAATTTATTATGTTTAACTGTTTCAGTGTGTGAATAATAAAAAATATCATGTTACCCTTAAGTTGCCAACTTTTTAATTTTTGGTTTTTATACTTTTATTCAATGTTGAATAATTAAACATTATAAGTGTGGTATTTTAATTTTGATTTTCCCATTTAATGAATATTAAAATATTTTTTATTACTTGTTGTTTTTCATATACAAACTAAATAAATTGTCATTTGGTTACATGATATAAATAAAGAAGAAGCTCTCTGTTATTTTCTTCCTACAACATTCCAAAAAAACATATCTTCTTCATCTCTTTTCTAGATGCCGATTGTAAAAGGCAAACAAACTCCAGTTTTTTTTTTTTATCATACTTTCTCGATTCATCCACTCCTCCAATTTACCCACCAAACTCCAGTTTTTTTTATCATACTTTCTTCGATTCATCCATTTCCCCCAATTTACCCACCAAAAACCTTTCTGAACCATACCCATCATCCTCTAAGTCTTCATAGTTGGTCAGATTTTTCATTACCTAAATAGTTGATCGATTCGATAATGAAATCTATTTCACTTTTTGTTTTCAATAATGAAATCAATTTTAGTTTTTGTTTTCAATAATAAAGTCAATTTTAGACATCAGACATTACTGGGTTGAACATGTGTCGTCAAGGAGAAGTGAATGAGTGTAGTTGGTAGAGAGCAAAGTGTATTTTTTTTCTTCATTCCGCCCCAGTCAACCATGTTTTTTCTTTGGACCGAATTATCACAAAATTGGGGACTGAATCAACATTTTGGACCGAGTCCAAAAGAAAAACAAACACTTAGACCGGAGATTTTTGACCAAAGTCCAAGCATTAGATCCAATAAGAAGGTGCATCAAACACCCCCCTCACAAAAATCGATGACTATCGTAATTCTTATTTGACTTTGAAATTGAAAAATACTTTTCTTTACGGGGCGTTTGGGATTGTTTTTTCAATAAGGGTATGTTCGGCACACAACTTTTGGGAGCTTCTAGCTTCTAGCTTTTAAGAAAACGCTAGTTAAAAAGAAAAAGTCTCGTTCGGCGACATTAGCGTTTAGCTTTTAACATAAACAAAAAACTCCAAAATCAAAAGCTACATGGAGTAGCTTTCAACAAAAAGCTCCAAAATCAAAAGCTACCCGCTACCAGCTAGTTTTGCCGAACACGTTCTAAAAGCACTTTTTGACTTATAGCTTTTTCCAAAAGTAAGTTTTAAAATGTGTTTGGATTAACTTTTAAATGAGCAAAGGCTAAAAAGCCAAAAGTCACAAATTCTGACTTTTTAAAACCATAATTTTTTCTTCTTGTCAAAATGTCATTCTAAAAGATCTTTTATAATTGCCAAACAATTGTTCACACTTTTAGCTTTTGGGAAAATTCAAAAGTCCAAAAAGTCATTTTAAAAGTTTTCCTACACCCTTTACATACTCGTTTGTTGTTAATGTAAACAAAGAGTCCTTTCTAGGCTCAGACAATGGTGCCACCAAAATCGTACTTTCTTCACTGACACATATGTGCCACATCACTTTTTACCACATAAGTGTGGTTTCTTGTCACACCCAAGGAGTGATGCCACACTTTTCTTTATTATTGTTTTTTGTTTTGTTTTGTTTTTTTTAATATAATTTTATTAAAAACTTCTTTTTTAATAAAAAACATAATTTTTCATTACTTGAAAATAAAAAAACATTACATTGCATTATTAAAAAAACACACATGACATTAAAAAAATCGTACAAACTTAAAAAAAACACATTAAACGATTAAAACAACTTAAAAAAACACAAATAAAATAACTAAACCATACTACATAATGTCCTTCTCCGAGAACTCGTCTTCCAAGTCATCTTGTGGATCCAAATTAAAGTTAATGTGTTGAATCCCGTAAATGTGTTTCACCAAGTCCGTACGAAGATTGTGAAATGTTTCAGTGCAACGTATCTCTGCTCTCGTCACCTCCAATTTCTATTGGTCGTGTCTCGGGTATTGTTTATTCCCCGTCATACACACATATCACTATTCCTTCGTCTTCAATAATCATATTATGAAATATAAGACATGTATACATGATTACTTGAAGTTTTTCCTCACCGAAATAATTTGCTGGTTTTTCCAATATGAACCAACGTTTCTTAAGAGCTCCAAAAACACGATCGACATCCTTCCTAGCTCTCTCTTGAGCTCTCTTGAATTTTTTTCGTCTAGAACCATGTAGACACGTAAACGATTTAAAAAACACAACATACTTAGGATAAATCCCATCAACAAGATTATAACCATACTTATATGTCATTCCATGCACTTTAAAAGAAGAATCTGGCGCAATTTGTCGTATATGTTGTTAAATATAGGTGAAAGATTAAGAACGTTGATGTCATTAATCGAACCGAGAGAACCAAAAAAAGCATGCCAAATCCACAGATCATGTTGTAACATCTTGTTCTGGATTGTTTTGTGACTTAAGGCCCACGGGCCTTAATCCGATTATGAGAAGGTTTTGAGGAGTTGAAAGAGAAAGGTTAGGCCCTTTTGGGATGTGGTTGAGGTAGGTTGTGTGATAAAAGAGTTCGATTTGTGCTTTAGAGCCCAAATGTATTGTTAAAGGCATTGGTTTGAGCTTTTCATGAATTTTGTATCTAAGTTCGAGTGGGATTCAAGAGGAATAAAGTTGATATAAGTGTAGGGCTTCTCGTTAGCTTTCTGTGGATATAAGGATCGTCGGAAACAGACTTATAACGAAGAAGTTATGGCCTTCAGAAGTTTTGTGGTTTCAGGCTTAGCCGAGTACGCTGGGCGTAATTTAGAGTACGCTGGGCGTAATTTGGAGTATGAAGGGCGTACTGACTAGGGATGGTCGCGAATGTTCTTCAGAGTACGTTGGGCGTACCATATGAACGTTGGGCGTACACCAAACAGACCTAAACGCTATTTTAGAGTCTTGGACCCTATTTAAGCTCCTTATCTCATAACCTAACCCTAATATCTTCAACCTGCATCCCTCTAAACCCTAGAAATCGACCCTATTCCTCCATTTGAGTGATTTTTGGGCATTTTGGTGATTTGGTGAGTTTTTGGTGCATATTTTGGAAGAAGGAGTTCCTTGAGGAAGCATTGCTTGGCTTAGAGCTTGTGGATCCAAGCCCTAATCATGTTGATCTAGCTCCAGAAAGCATTAAGTCTAAATCTTGGTGGATTTCTCATGTGGATCTAGTAGGGTGATCACTTTTTGTGTTTGGCTTTTGAAGAAGAAGGAGCTTTGAAAGAGAATGGCTTGAGCACCTAGCTTTTGGATCTATGTTCTTCTCTTGTTGGTGCATCTTCCAGAGGTATCAAGTTTTGAACTTGCTTATTATTGTGCTAATTTTTGTTTTGGGTCCATTTTAGGGTTTTTGGTCCCAAAGTGTAGGGTTTCAAAGCACTCCATGGATGATGGCAATGGGCCCCTTTGATGAATTCTAGGTTAAAAGCCCAAGACTTGTGTTTTCCCTATAAATAGTCATGTATTATTCATTATTAGGGGCATGAGTTAGGCAAAATGTAGCCGCCACGTTGTGAGGTTTCTTGTAGAATTACATTCTTATTTCTTAAGTATAATTTGTTCCTCACAATTCAATAAATCGAGTGATCATTCGACATAATCTTCATATTTGTGTTTGTTCTTATTTTTCGCATCTTGTTCATCAAATCTCAGTTAGGGTTTTAATCCCAACAAGTGGTATCAGAGCGGGTCTTTGAAGATCTATTGATTTTCAAAGTATCGGTTCATGATTTGGTGATTTTCTACACATATATTGAAGATTATTGGTGTTTTGGCGGTATGGAATCAAAATTTTGTTCAAGCAACTGTTCATGAAAACTTATGTTTTTTGTTCCTGTTCATCTAGGTAATTTTCCGATCTGTTTCATGCTCGTTTTTTCTGATTTGATCTTGGTCAATTGATGTGTTAAAATCAATTGTTTGCTTTATGCATCAATTTCGTTCCTGTTGGAATAAATATTACTCACTGCGAAGGTTTCATAATCAGAATGAAAAACGACGGCAAGAATTGCAATGGACTCGCAATTTGATCTGTTCGGTCTTGCATATGTGTGATGAATATTGGTGTCGCAAAGTTTAAGCCTTTCGTTTTTATCCAAGAAAATGGGGAAGATAACAATGTTTCATTTTGGGTCCCTACAACTCCAGCAAATTGGCACTTCTGGTCCCTTTTGTTTTCACAGTTTGGCATTTTTGGACCATTTCCAGAATTTGTTACAATGAAGGGGCATATGGTGCAGAATTATTAATTTTGACCCCTGAATTTCTGCAAAGTGACAATTTCAGCCAAATTTTAGGAAAGTTTACAAATTTGAGAGCTGGTGAATAGTTTGGAATTCTTTAACGCACATATTTTTTTCGTGAACAGAAAAATAAAGATTCCATCAAGTCTTGGCAGTTCGGAAAGTCGTTTTTACTGATAACGACAAATTTTCACGACTTTTTCGGATTTTATACTTCATTGTATATATCATTTTATCGCGGGGGAGCATAGTAATTTTTATCCATTCAAGATCATTCTCATGACCATTTGAAGGCTTTATAATCATGTTTGTGATTATAAATCGAGGGAGAATTTGGTATGGCCATTCGAAATGGCCATTCGAAATTGGATTTGTGACTTTTCAAAGTTGAAGATTTTTCATAAAGCTTATGGTAGAATTATGAAGGTAGCTTTTACAGCGGAAGTTCTTCATCGAGCTCTGCTAAAGCTTTTACAAAGAAGTATCCTTCACAGTGGAAGTTCTTTATCGAGCTCTGCTAAGGACTTGTTATATCTCCGACTTCTTGTATTTTCTCGATCAAGTGGCGTTACGAATCATAAAGTTTGGGTTGTTACATGATATTTTTTGATGGCTTATATCATTAGCTTATTTGAAGATCATTGTGACTTGGAGGGGGAGCTCTTCAAAGACAAGAAGTGATTCGGTTTCTTTGTTTTGAAATGGGTTTTTATGGCGGGTTTGGTTTTCATGAAGATTCTTTGGGATTACATTCGAAAATGAAGTTTAAAGACATTACTTCAGTGCTTGATTTATATATCCTAGAGCCCGTGTTTAAAGACTATTGAAGAATCAAGATTCGTGGATTGCTTCATATATTCCTCGTTGCAGATCTTTTTATTTGCTAGATGCTTGTTTTGGAAGTTAAAGCATTGTCATCCATTCCATACTTTGAGTGGGAGATTGTAGGGTTTCAAAGCACTCCATGGATGATGGCAATGGGCCCCTTTGATGAATTCTAGGTTAAAAGCCCAAGACTTGTCTTTTCCCTATAAATAGTAATGTATTATTCATTATTAGGGTCATGAGTTAGGCAAAATGTAGCCACCATGTTGTGAGGTTTCTTGTAGAGTTAGATTCTTATTTCTTAAGTGTAATTTGTTCCTCACAATTCAATAAATCGAGTGATCATTCGACATAATCTTCATATTTGTGTTTGTTCTTATTTTCCGCATCTTGTTCAT